GCTGCTGGCCCAGGAGGCCCTGAGGGCGCCCCAGCCCTCAGAGCTCGCGGCCTTGCTCTCCAGGTGCCTGCGCAGCTGTGCCTCCAGCTCCTGGGTGACTTTGTCCAGGGCGTGCACCTTGGCCATGTATTGCACCAGGCAACCCCCCAGGTCCTCAGCGGCACTGAGGCCCCTCTCCAGGCCTGGAGCTGGTACTGTGGCTACGCCTGAGCTCCTCAGGCCCTGTAGGAAGACAGTGCTGATGCCTAGGGCCCGGCGAGTCACACGGGCATCCACGCCACCTGCGCACCCATTGGGCACCATCCCTGCATAGACTCTGGGTGCTCGGACCAGACCACCCACAGCACTGGTCCTGGAGGCCGAGGGGCTATCCAGGGAGGACGATGGCCGTGTTCCCCTGAAGGAAGCCCTGTGCCCCTGGAGGGGCATGCTGGAGCTGGCCCCAGTGGGCATGTCCACCACCACTCGCCTTGTGCTCATCACAGCCCTGCTTCTGCTGTGCCTAGTGGGTTTGTGGAGTCCAGTGGCTTTTGGTTTCCAGCCCCAGCATCCCTGTGGCCCTGTCATGTGACTCTCTGGAAGCTCCCCTACCCCCACGGCTGCTTTGTCTGCTGTTTTCCATGAGTTCTCATCATTCACTGAGCTGAAAGGTCCACCCAGGACTGTGCAGAGAGGCGTTCATGCATTCTCTGCAGGCTCACGGGCCTGACCGCCCAGATTTTTCTGCCACTGGTGGGGGAGGCTGGGTTGGTCCAGGCTGTGGGGGTGGCTCGTCTGGGTTTGTGTCTGTCAGTGCCTGAGGGGGCAAGGCGGGCACCAAGCATCCCCACTTCACAGGTGAGTAAAATGAGGCTCAGACAGCTCCGATCACAATTTCAGGGCGTGGCTGAACCAGGACTGAATCCAGGAGTTCCAGGGCTGATTTCAGCTCTTCCCACATCCTCACACGGGCTGTGTGTCAGTGTGTGAATGTGCACGTGTGTCCTTGCAGGGAAAGAGGGACGTGGATGTGAACGAACCATGGTGGAGGCAGCTCCAGGGATTCAAGAGAAACAGACCAAGCCTGTTGCTTCCTTCGCCCTTCCTTGGTCAGGGCAGCTGCTCAGGTCCTTCCCTAGCATCCTTCTTCCCTGAAACACTGCAGTTCATCAGCTG